TCCAATGCGTTTTAACGCTTATTTTGTTTGAAATGCACTTTTTGCATAGAAATTCCGTAGTTTCAGACGTTTTTCATTAGCAATTTTCTTTCAGTGTTCGGAACGTTGAATCATAGACGTTAAATTTTATATAAAATAATATTTTTTAGCGCGTGAATCTGCAATTTTTTTCTTAGTTTTTCTATATGTAGAAAGATACCTTGATAACTCAAAAAAATTAAAGAATACTATGGCTATTCAACACCAAAATTTTCCTTTCAATTTGTTCTGTATATTTATAAACGTTTGCACGCTTACAATATCATATCAGCATTATTTGAATGCGCTTCCACACGGTAAATCAATAAATTCCAATAGATTAAAAGCTGAAGAAATACTGATGTGTTTAAATGACCAAAATATTGTGTTTCCCTGTGTGAGTGGGTGTGGGTGTGAGTGTGGGCTGTGGATATGAGTAAACAGAAAAAAACAATACACAACCAAAATCCTACCCACACGCACCCCAGATGTTCCCGAGTGCCGTATTCGGCAATCGGGAACAACGGTATCCTAAGCAATGCATGCACCACCAAAAGGCAAAATCAAAACAGCGATTCTTTCGGCTCATTAACCAAAAGCAACGTCCTCTGACAGCTACTCCATAAATTAGAACTCACAAGTCACATGACCGAACATCATATCACGGTTACACAAGAAACCAGAGACTCCGATAAAAGGAACCTTCACAACATCCATACGAATGCTTTGTAACAGACTAAAACATCATGCCAACATAACGGGAAAAAAAGGAAAGTTCCACTGTGGCCAGGTCTTTGCTCAACTCCATTTCACCGATTCAACCCCCGAATTCTATATCTCCTTAAAGGGCAAGGCAGGGACCCCCACATATACCCATCAATCGATAGAGCGCCCCCAAGAACCCTACGATTGGCCCGAGCATGACTAGTACATGTCTGTATAATAAGGGAGAAAAGTCCTCCCGAAATTTGATTCGTCAAAATTTGACTAATCGAGTTGCACATATGGTCACTACTCATTCACCGTTTTGTTTCGGCTAGTTCGTTCTGATAAAGACCCCTACGAAAACGATGACTCTTTCCTACAATCCAATACAAACATATAGGATAAATATTTTTCATTTGCCCTTCCTTTCTGCTACACATCTCGACTTCACACTCATGGTCAAGGCAGGAACCCCCACATATACCCGTCAATCGATAGAGCGCCCCCAATAACCCTACGATTGGCCCGAGCATGACTTGTGCATGTCCTTATAATACGACAGAAAAGTCCTCCCGAAATTTGA